TCCTCCTCACACTCCCTCTAAAAATCAATGGAAAAAATATCCTCGGGGGAGCATTAACAACAAAAAGAGTGTAGCCTGGTGTGACCGGCTGGATTCCCATTCAGGACACATGCCTGGTTTGCAGACTCAATCCCTGGTAGGGGGTGCAGGAAGCCCCCAAACAATGTTTCACATTGATCTTACGCTCTCTCCCCACCCTTCTTCCTTCCCCCCCTTAAAAAATTTTTAAAAATCATTTAAAAATAATGAAGTGTTGTTATGAAAATAGTAGAGGTCACGCAGAACCATAAGTATCACCATCCCCTAAGTTGGAGGAGACTAGAAATGGACTAGAAATTTTAATCAGAATGACAAACTGATCAGTGAATACACTGAGAAGCCCAAGGAAAGCATTGCCACACCAAACAGAAAGCTATAAGTGGTCACAGCTTCTTGCCAAGAGAGAGATTTTCCTGGATATGACAGAAGATCCAGAGAGAGACCAATCCTAGCCCATCCTGAAGCAAAAGCAGAGTCAAATGGGAAACTACACATAGAACACTAGCTGCCACCCCACTACCAGCTTCAGCAAATACATAAAGACCTCTACCGGGGCCATTATTGGCCAACCACTTACCTCTCAGGCTCAATAAAACATACACATGTCCAAAAGCTTATTATAAAAAGAGCTCTTCAAAAAATTTTAAGAGCATTTGCATGATAAAACTCAGGGGCTAGGGGTGACACAGAGAATTGTTGTTTAATGGGCATACAGTTTCAGTTTTACAAGATGAAAAGAGTTCTGGAGATTGGCTGCACAAAGACTGTGAATGTACTTAACACTATTGAACTGTACAGTTAAAAATGGTTTCAATGGTAAATTTTATGTTAGGTAAGATTTGCTGCAATGAAAAAAAATTTTTTTAAGAGTACACAGTGTTCTAACAATCACTGCAGCTCTTAATCATAATGAAATAAAAGAGGAGGAGCCCAGCCGGGCGTGGCTCAGCGGTTGAGCGTCAACCTGGGATCCAGGTGATCAGGGTTTGATTCCCGGTCAGGGCACATGCCTGGGTTGCGGGCTCCATCAATGACCCTCTCATCATTGATGTTTCTATCTCTCTCTCCCTCTCCTTTCCTTTCTCTGAAATCAATAAAGATATATTAAAAGGAAGGGAGGGAGGGAGGAATAAAAGAGGAGAAGGAGGCTGGCAGTGTGCACGAGAGTCTGGACCCGCACTCTGTCAGTGCAAACAGAAGTAAGATTATCTGAATCGTATTTAGAAGGAAACTTTCTGGACCCTGGTGATGGATACACTGTGAAGAGAACTGTGTCCAGGTTTATGGCTTAAGCATCTGTCAAGACAAAGCTGACATTTACCAAGATGAACAGATGTTAACATCTCAGTCCCATGAAATCTGGATATCAAAACAAAACAAAATACGAAATACGTAATGAATGTAATGATAAGGACTTTTGTTTGTTTTTAATCCTTACCCAAGAACCTTTCCACTGATTTGAGAGAGAGAAAGGGGGAGAGAGAGAAACATCGACTGGCGGCCTCCCCCACACACCCCTACCAGGGACCAAACCCGCAAGCTTTTTTGGTGTTCTGGGTGATGCTTAACAAACTGAGTCGTCCAGCCAGGGCTGTACAATGGTTTTACCACATATTCCTTATATACTACTCTTTATAAATGCAGCCCAAGATTAACTAGATGTTTGGGGGGTTGTTGTTTGTGTTTAAAATATATCTTTATTGATTCTGGGGAGGGGGAGAGAAACATCAATGATGAGAGTCACTGATTGGCTGCCTTCTGCACGCCCCCTGCTGGGGATCGAGCCCGCAACCCAGGCATGTGCCCTGACCGGAAACCAAACGGCAATCTTCTGGATCCTAGGTCGATGCTCAACCACTGAGCCATGCGCCAGCTAGGCTAACTAAATGTTTTGGTTAAACATATTTTACACTCCTAGCTCAAATGTTTACAGTCAAATAAAAATACCCAAAGTATTTTCTATAGAAACAGCTGTTAATCCAGTTTCCTTCTCCTTTCAAATATATTAAAAACTCAATGTTAACTGTTCTACGGTTACAAGCTCTTGCATCTTGAATGTACAGTTCCATCCAAGGCTATGACTAAAATGCTTAAGAGAGAAAAACGATTAGAAACAGACACACCTTGAACTGTCACTATCACTTTCACTTTTTCTATCACTTTTCCATTCTTCTTCTTCTTCTTCGGAAGAACAGGAACCTTCACTTTGGTCACAGGAAGTCTAATTTATGAGGGGAGAAAAAAACAAAACAGAAATCTTGATCTCTAAGTGAAGTTAATAAGTCATGTAAATGTTCTCAATGTTTTGGACTAAAGCCACCGTAACAGGTATGTACTAGCGTCTCACCATTGTTTCACTTTCAATTAAATATGTCAACTGCCTCTTAACTGTACACTTAAAAAATCATTAAAATAGTAAATTTCACATTAATTTTATCACATAAAAAGTAGCCAAAACATTAAAAAAAAAGACACCAACTCTCAGCAATTAAAGTGGTAAAATGAAAGCATGTAACACGTCCTGCTGCCGAAGGGCAGGAAGCAGGCTCTCTCATGACCCATAGGTGGAGTGCCAGTCAGATGCTCCTTTAGGAGGAATTTTTATCAATCTCCTAAAACTCATGTGCATTTAGTTTTTGACTCAGCATTCCCCTTTCAAGTAATATATCCTCAAATTACATCTCCAACAGGACAAAAATACATACGTTATAGCATAATTTATAACGAAAATATTGGAAACATCCTAAATGGCAACAACTAGGAGTGGTTAAATAAACTGTTATAACCACACAATTAATTATGATACAACTCAAAAAAAAAAAAAACAAGGAAAATATTTATGCACTGATATAAAGTGACTTCAAGAATATTTTAAATGAAAAGAACCCAGTGTAAAAGAGCACTTGTAGTATGCTATAGTTTTGTACAAAGAAGAAATAATAAAATATGTATGTATCTGACTGAATGTGGGGGAGAGGGAAGCACAGGAAGAATAAGACACTAGTAGTGAAATGAATTATCTAGAGAGGATGGATGAGAAGGTTTATCATAATTACCCAAAACCATTAACAAAGAGTTAAAAATGCTCAATATATAATAAAAAGAAAATGTAAAACTAGTCTCATTATATACAACATTTAAATGAACAGTTTTGATGATAAGAGCAGCTAACATTATTGGATATTAGGCACTGTTTTAAGCACTTTATATGATTAAATTAATTCTCACAACACCTCTAAGGGATGTACTATTACTAATAACTTTCAGAGATATGGCAGAGGCACAGAAAGTTTAAACAAGTTATGAAAGTGGAAGACTTTGGATTTAAATTCAAGCCCTATGTTGACTACTATTCTAATGCTTCATAAAGCAGTAAAATAAGTTGTTCACCCATATGGAACATTTCATTCCTCAAAACGTTACTGAATTAGAAAATATTAACATTCTAATGTCAATTTTTTTTAAACTGTTTACCAAAAATACTGGTTTCCCAAGAAAAATCAAAATGAAGGCCAGTGACTAACGTATGATTATTGAAAGTCAAGTAAAGGGGTTAGATATGACAGCAAAAGCAACTAAGGGAAAAATAAACTGAACTCCATTAAATGTAAAACTTTTGTGCTTCAAAAGAAGCCATCAAAGAAGTGAAAACAACCTACTGAATGAGAAATATTTGTAAGTCATGTATCTGATAAAAAGATCCAGAGTACAAAAAGAACTTTTACAGCAATTAAAAATAACCACCAAACTGAAAAATGGGCAACAGATTTGCAGAGAAATTTCTCCAAAGATGTACCAATAGAAAATAAGCAAATGAAAATATGGTTCAACATCATCAGTCATTAGGGAAATGCAACCCAAAACCTCAGGGAGAGCCTGGCCAGTGCGGCTCAGCAGCTGAGCATCGACCTAGGATCCAAGCGATTGGGGTTCAATTCCCGGTCAGGGCACATGCCCGGGGTTGGGGGTTCAATCCTCCGTTGGGGGCATGCAGGGGGCAGTGGATCAATGACTCTCTCATCATTGGTGTTTCTCTCTTCCCCCCTCTCCTTTCCTCTCTCTGAAATCAATAAAAATATATTTAAAAGAAAGAAGAAAAAAAAACCTCAGTGAGATTCCACTTCACACTCACTCACACAGCTAAAATCACAACAGGTGTAGACAAGAACGTGAAGAAACTGGAACCCTCATACAACGCTGATGGGAATATAAAATAGTGCAGCCACTCTAAAAAAGTCTGGCAATTCCTCAATAGTTTAAATGTAGGGCTACCATGAGACTCCTAAACAGAAACCCAAATGAACTGAAAACTTATGTCCAAACAAAAGCCTTTCACGAATATTAGTAAGCAGCACTATTCATTAATGACAAGGTGAAAATAACACAGGCGTGCACCAGCGGTGAGTGAATAAACAAAACGTGGTGTGTCCGTTCACTGGGCAAGGAAAGGACAAAGCGCTCCACAGCCCACAGGCGAGGCAGCCACGAGCACACCGCGCTGAGCCAGGCCAGCAGCAAAATCCTACGGTAGGGCTCCACCTATATGCCACGTCCAGGACTGGCAAAGCCACGGAGAACGCAGGTAAAGTAGTGGTTTCCAGGGACGGGATGGGACGGGAATGAGAGTAACAAAAAATGGGTATAGGGTTTCTTTTTAGAGTTGATGAACAAGTATTCATTTTAAAATTAAATAGTGGTGATAATGGCACAATTGTGTTAATACACAAGACTACTGGATGGTACACTAGTACAGGGAGTACCTCAACAAAGCTGTGCACAATTTCTGCTAAAACTCAAAATGTGAAATTTCATCTTAACCTTTACAGAATACTGTATCTTCACACAATTGAAGGGTAGAGTCAAAGCAAGACAATTTATTTAAAATTATTTTGTATATTTTAAAGTTACAAACTCACATGTCTTATAGAGCTTGAAGATTCATTTCCAGAAGATAACTCAATCCGTCCAACATTTCTTCTACCATAATTTGGATATTTACGCCTACATGTCCTCTGCCTAAACTGTGACATTAAAACCACCGAATCAGACTGCAACATAAAGAAACATGTAGATGAAAATCAATACCTCTCAGAGGGAAGGTAGGGGTG